TGAGATTAGGAACAAGGCAAGGATGGCCACTCTCACCACTCCTGTTCCACATAGTCCCAGAAATTCTAGCCACAGCAAGCAGACCGGACAGGGAAATGGAAAGCACCGGGTTGGAAACGAAGTCCTGAATGACATGATCTTATATGCAGAAAACTCTGAAAGTTCCCCAGAGCAACTACTCTGGCTTGCTGTGGTCTGGAGTTGTCCCCCCAAAACCCGTATGTTAAAACCCTAACCCCCAAAGGTGGCGGGAGGTGCTTAAATCATGAAAATGTGGCTTTCGCGAAAGGAATTAATGCCTCCTAAAAGAGGCTTCAGAGAGACCCTCGCCCACCCCTGCTGACTTTGTACGGAGTCGGCAGTCTGCACCCGAGAGGCCTCCCCTGAAACCCGCTATGCTGGCACCCTGACCTTGGACTTCCAGCTGCCAGAATTGAGAGAAATAAATGTCTGTTGTTTATCAGCTACCGGGTCTGCGATACTTTGATATAGCAGCCTGGATGGACGAAGACTGAGCTAATAGGTGAATTCACCGAGTTGCTATATACTAGTGATGAACAACCCCAAAGGGAAATTAAGAAAACAATTCCGTTTAAAGAAATATCAAAAATAACAAAATATTTAGGAGTAAATTTAACCAAAGAGGCAAAAGATACTGAAAACAACAAAGCATTGCAGAAAAAAATGAAAGAATAAAGATGTAGAAAGACACCCCATATCCATGGAGTTGAGGACTTAATATTGATAAGGTTATCAATATTATACGAAGGGACCTACAGATTTAATGCAATCCCTGTCAAAATCAAAATGGTGTTTTGTTTTGTTTAGTTTTTGCAGAAATAGAAAAATTCACCCTAAAATTTGTATGAAATCTCAAGGGACATTGAACAGCCAAAATATTCTTGATAAAAAAGAACAAGGTTAGAGGACTCATTCTTCCTGATTTCAAAACTTAGTGCAAAGCTACAGTCACCAAAACAGTGTGGCAGGGGCATAACGTTCAGACATGTGACCGGTGGAACAGGCTGGATGGCGTAGAAATAAGCCCTGGCACTTTTTGTGAATTCATTTTCAACAAAAATGCAAAGAGCTTTCAACGGGGGAAAGAACGGTCTTCAAGAAATGGTGCTGGGAAAACCGGATATCCATGTGCTAAAGGGCGAAGCGGATCCCAACGTCGTGCACATAAAATCAATTCAAAATAAACCAGAGACCTAAATGTAAGAGCTGAAAATTTAAAACTCTCAGAACAAAATAGGGGAAAATCTTTGTGATGTTATATTTGGCAATGATTTCTTGGCTATGACCCCAAAAGCACGGACAACAAAGGAAAAAAAAAACAACAGATAAATCGTATTATCAAAATTAAAACCTTTCATGCACCAAAAGACACTATCGAAGAGTTAAAAGGCAGCCACAGAATGGAGAAAATATTTGCAAACATGTATCTGATAAGGGTTTAATAATCACAATATTAAGAACTCTTAAATCTTAACGATGTCAAAAACAAAACAAAACAACCCAACTTAAAAATGGGCAAAAGACCCGATCAGACGTTTCTCCTGAAAAGACATGCAAATGGCCCATAAACGCAAGAAATGAGTCTCAGCATCGATAGCCATTAAATAAATGCAAATCAAGGCCACAGTGAGATGCCACTTCACACCCATCAGGATGGCTGTTATTTTCTTTAAAACGGGGAAAATAACAAGCGCTGGTGAGGATGTGGAAAACTGGAAACTTTGTGCATTGTTGGCGGGAATGTAAAAGGCTACAGCTGGAGAAATGAGCATGGTGAGTCCTCAAAACGTCAAACAGAATTGCGATATGATCGAGTGAATCCACTCCTAGGTCCACACTCGAAGGAATCGAAAGCAGGGACTCAAACACATACGTGGACCCCCATGTTTACACCAGCGTGAGTCACAACAGCAGAAAGGTGGGAGCAGCCCGTGTCCATCAATGGATGATGGCCATGCAAAACGTGGTCCGTCCACACACACAGTGGGATGTCGTTCAGCCTTAAAAAGGAGGGAAGTCCTGACACCTGCTATAGCGTGGATGCACCTTGAGGACACTGTGCTGAGCGAAATGAGCCGGTCACATAAGGACAAACACTGTGGGGTCAGTCTTCACGAGGGAGAGGCTCCTGGGGGAGGGGGCCACACTCTCGCAGCTGGGGTAGGGTGGGGGAAGAGCCTGGTCCTTCTCACAGTGGAGTAGCTCTGGGGACAAGGGTACCCAGGTAGAGCGTGACCTGCTTGTCCCCCCACAGCTTTAACCCCCAGTGGAGCTGTCACAGCTGCCTCTCTGCACCCCACATCCTGACGTGGGGTGGAGTTGCTCGGTCACACCTGTCAGTGGGCAGGCTGGTTGTCCGGGGCGCCACCATGGCCGGGCGTGTCCTCCACCTATTTCTTCTGGACCAGGCTGGTACCTGGGTCTAGCTGGATACATCCTGCATGTGCTCGGGGTGGTGACAAGGCTCGGCCATCCCAAAGCCCAGGGCCTGAGGTGCCTCCCCTCCTGGACCACCCTCCTCACCCGGACCACCCAGCCATGGGCCTGCCTGGCTCACGGCCCGCTGGTCACACCACTGGGCCCCTCAGCTCACCAGGAGTGTGGGCCCCTCGGGAACAGACCAGGGCTGCCAGGCCCCCCGTGGTTCCCACCTCACGCCATGCCACCCTCTGGGGAGCAGGAGGCAACACACCTAGTGCCCCATCCTCAGCCACACCTGTGACCCCCTGGGCTGTGCCTGGTCCTCCTGGACCCTCCACAGTGGCCAAGGGGGAGCTGGGCAAATAGCCAGCACCCGACAAGTGCACGAGGCACCTGGGAACCGCTGTCCAGGGGTCTGCAGTGCCACGGAGGGGGACGGGGCAGGGCGAGTGGCGAGGGCCTGTCCACCACTCAGGGGCTGGGCGGGGGCGGTCTGCCTCTGCGTTTGTGGTGGGGGTCTTTATCCACGGGTGGGAGCACGTCGCCTCTGGACGCCGTGGGGCCCAGTGAGGTTCCCCCGTCCTGGCTGCCCCCCAGACTGAATGAGGGACAGGGCGCGCCCAAGGCAAGCAGGTTCCTGGCCCGTGGCCGGCGGAGCCCTCCCGGAGCGGAGCGGCGGGAGGCCCCTTCCCGGCAGCCCGCTCCCCTTCCCTCCCTTTATCCTCTGTTCTCCGCTCCCTCAAGTGTGAAGAGGAAACTCGCTGAGCAAACAGGTCCGGCCGGTGCATCCGGGATGTCTCAACAGCTGCGACCCCGGGGCCGACCCAGCCGGCGGGGCCCCCCGCCCTCGTCCAGGGTGCTGAGTGCCTACTGTGTGCCAGCGGCGACCTGCCGGGCAAGGCCCCTGCCGCATGGAGCTCGCTTCTGGGGCGGGGATCCGCACACACCTGAGTCCCTGATGGAGGTGCCACTGCTCAGTGTTGGGGGCGTGGCGGGTCCCCCTGAGGGCATCGGGGCAGGTGCACGGGTGTCCGGCCCCCAGGTAGACCAGCCTCCAGGCCTGTCCTGTGAGGTTCCTGGCCAGCCCTCCCTAGAGGCCCCTCCAACTGTGCTCTTCTGCAGTGGGGACAGCTGGGCTGGACGTGGAAGAGCTTTGGAGACCCCAGACACTCTGGCCCTGAACTTTCGACCTTGAAAATGACAGTGAGGATGACGGCAGGAGTGGCGGGTGGCTGGAGCACTCGCCCTGGGGTCCCGGCGGTGTGCTAGGAGCAGGGTCGGGAACCGCCTTGTGACCTGCATGTCCCCCGCCCCGCCCCGCCCAGGGCCCAGGTTTGTGGGCCTGACAACCCTGCACCCACAGATTTGCCCTCATGGACACAAACGCCGGGGCGCGGCGGCTGTTCCTGGGGACCCCTTCTGTCTATCACGCAAACTGTCCTACAAACCGCCACCGCCCGGAGAGGCTGCTCAGAGGACGGGACCCTATGATTCCTGCCTGGTCCCTCCCAGGGGACGAGGGACGCGGGACATCTTCAGACACACTCAGGTCTGGGCGAGGGCCTGTGAGAGGGAGAAGCTGCACAGGGGACGTTCGTGGAGGCCGCAGTGACCGGGTATTGGGCACCACGTGACCCATGGCTGTCAGGGCTCCCGGTGTGGGAGAACCCGGTCTCTGCGGTGACCCCCGTCAGCCTCGCTGGGGGCCTCAAGGGGCACCGCTCTTTGTACACAGTGGTCCCGTCAGGCCTGCTGGGGGCACCAGGGAGGCCCCGAGGAGCAGAGGAGTCACGTGAGGGTCAAACAGGATGCCAGGCTGAGGTCCTCCGCCCTGCCGGGGCCAGGGTGGGCACTGGACAGGCACTGGCCAATTTTCAGGGCCTCGTTTTCCCTTGAACTTGAACTAGGAGACACCGAGAAGTCCGGAGACCTGCAAGGGGCACTGGTCCGCATGGCTGGGGTCCCAAGGCAGAGCACGTACCCCGCCCTCCACACACAGCCAACCACGGCCCCAGCTGAGCAGGAGGCTCCAGGGCCCGCTCTCAGGCCCAGCATTGACCGCCTCACGGCCCGGCCCTGCCGCTCGGGCCGGGGGTCAGCGCCTCTGCCCAGCTCCCCCTGAGGTCTCCTCCCCCACATCCCCTGTCTCAGCCTCGGCCGGGCTCCCCGAGGGGCTGGACGCGGAGCTGAGCGTGAGGCTGCTTGCTGACCACCGTCCCCATTGAGTAGGTGGGCTGCAGCGAGGCGGGACCCCCGGGCAGCCCCGCCTGCAGGGGCTTTGCTGTCTGGAAGAGCCCCAGGTGGGCGGGCATCCCCTCTCCCCTCTAGGGGGCGGGGGTCCTGTCCCTGGGGCCCAGAGCTGAAAATCCTTCCTCGTCCGGCCACCTTCCTGCTGCGTCCCCTCCCCGAGAGCAAACACACGTGGCTGGAGCGGGGAGAGGACAGTGCGCCTCGTGGCCCAGGAGCTGGGCGAGGGCCAAGGCTCCGTGCTACATAAGCCCAGGGCCCCCAGGGGAGCGAGCAACCGGCCGCACGCCCTCCCCGCCTGCCCGTGCCAGTCCCCAGGATGGGCACCCCGAGCGGGTGTCAGACGCTGGCGTGGGCGCTCCTGGGCCTGCTGTCACTGCAGAAGGCAGGTAAGGCTGAGGCCTCGCTCCGCCTTCACCCTCCGCGGGCCGCTCAGCCGCGGAGAACCGACGGACGGCGCGACCCCGCCCCATTTGTCCAGGAGAAGCTGGGCCCCCAAGAATGAGCGAAGGGGCCAGGCTGGGGGTCACTCGTCCCCAGGAGACAGGGACAGCCCCCAGCTCTGGCGTCCTCTCCACTCTGCCCTCCATGGCCAGCCTGGGGTGACGGCCATCGGGGAGCCCCATGGCGGCTTTGAAGCAGCGGTGCACGGGGCGGACAGGTGACCCAGCCGCGGGGAGCTGCACCTGAACCCACTGCGCCTCACGCCGCAGCCACTGCACAGTCCTTCTCAGCCCCCCACCGTGGTCTGCGGGCCCTCGGCCCTGGTGGCATCTCCGGAAGCACCATGAGCCTAATACTTACTGTCAACAGAAACGACGTGGTCCCAGGGGCTGTCTGGGCAACACCCGCCCGTCCCCGTCCCCACCCGTCCCTGCCACGCTCAGCTCCTGCAAGCTGTCCCCGCGGGGCCTCGCCCCGCGCGGGGGTCCGGGCAGGTGGGCACGAGCCGCGTGAAAGGCACCGGCACAGGGGAGCAGCCATGTCCCGGGGCCTCCGCCCCAAGTCCCCTTACCCGGGGGCAGAAGCGCTGTGACGGGCAGGGTCCCCTGGGTGGCTGAGGATGGGTCCCTCGTGGAGGGGCCTCACGCCAGGGCGATGTGACCCAGTGTGCTGTGCGATGGGCACTGGCGGTGGCATTTCTCTGGCGGGCGATGGAGGCCCAGGCTCACTGTGCCGGTCCCTTAGCCCGTGGGTGGCCCTGCATGGAGCTGGCCACGTGGGAACCTGGCCTGGGACCCAAAGGAGGGGACGCCATTCGACCTACGACCAGTCCCCTTGACATGGAGTGGGACCAGCACAGGCGGGAGGGGCCTCAGGTCTGGGGTCACGGAGGATGGAGCGGGCGGCGGTGCCCTGGGCACGGGGGGCGGCTGGAGGGGAAAGGTGCATGCGGGGCAGTCCGCGTGGCTTCCACGTGTCCTCGGCCTGGAGGGGAAGCCTGACAGGAAGTGGCCTCCGGTGACCTTCGCAGCATGGCCCGGCAGGGAAGTGTGACAGGAAGCCTGACAGGAAGTGGTCTACGGTGACTGCCACAGAATGGCCTGGAGGGAAACCTGACAGAAAGTGGCCTGCAGTGACCACCGCAGTATGGCCTAGAGGGGAAGTCTGACAGGATGTCTGACAGGAAGTGATCTGAGGTGACTGCCGCAGCATAGCCTGGCAGGGAAGTGTGACAGGAAGCGGCCTGAGGTGACCGTTGCAGCATGGCCTGGCAGAGGAGTTTGACAGGAAGTCTGACCGGAAGTGGCCTCCGGTGACCTTCGCAGCATGGCCTGGCAGGGAAGTCTGACTGGAAGCCTGACAGAAAGTAGGCTGAGGTGACTGCCACAGCATGGCCTGGCAGGGAAGTCTGACAGGAAGTGGCCTCCGGTGACCTTCGCAGCATGGCCTGGCAGGGAAGTTTGGCAGGAAGTCTGACAGGAAGTGGCCTCCGGTGACCTTCGCAGCATGGCCCGGCAGGGAAGTCTGACAGGGTCACCACAGCATGGTCTGGCACCCCTTGCCTTCCGGCCGCACGGGGACGTCGGGGCCCTGCCTCCACTCCCTACGGGGCGCAGCCGGGCTGAGTGTGCGGCTCTCGGCAGACCGAGGACGGAGCCCTGGGCCAGAAGGGGGAGCCCGAGCCAGAGCCCGGCTGAGGGGGCCTGCGGGGCTCGGTCCTGTGCGCCGAGGCAGCGAGGAGTCGTGCGGGCTCAGCCCTGGTCAGGCTGGCGGCGGAGGCCCTGCCCGGGGTGGTGGACACACAGGTGACCTTGGCTGTCCCGGCAGTGGGGCCCCCAGGGCCCCCACCTGCCATGACTGGTGGCTCCAGCGCGGAGCTGGCTCTGGTCTTGGGTTTCTGCTAAGTCACGCCGGAAGCTTCCCCAACAAAGCTGGTCTTTGTCCTTCCCTGAGGGACGTGGGCCGAACCCTCTCCCTAGGTGGCCGGGGTCGACAGGGCCAACGCCTTTTCCTGATTCCATTGGCCGGCCCTGCCACAGCGACATGAGGGATGAGGCACCACCCCGAATTCGTAGCCCGGGAGGGGAGGGGTCAGAGCAAGGCCACTGAGGAGTGGCCGGTCCTGCTGGACCCTTCCGTCCTGCGAGGGCTTGCTTTCTGTCACGCTGCGTGACGGGGGGCCAGGGCCTCTTCATGCCACCCCGCCACACGGAGACCTGCCACTGGGGCCCCATACAGCTGCCAGACGTGTGCGGCTTCTTCCCGACTCCCATCCCTGTCCCTGCAGAGACCCAGGGCGGCACGGAGCCCAGCCCGGCCGGCACGGAGGCTGCGGCGGACGGTCGGAGGGCGGGCACAGGTACGCGGCCCCGGACCCGGGCGGTGGCGCTTCCGAAGCAGGCAGAAGGGACCGGCGGGAGGGATGGACCCCTTTCCACATCAGCCACGTGTCACATAGAGACCCCGCCCGTATCCCATCTTCCCGGGGGAAGGGACAGCAATGGGGGCCGGTGGGGCCAAGAAAACAAAGATGCAGAGCAGAGGCTCAAACGCTCACTACTCACACAGTGTACACACACACACTCACACTCACACACGCACTCACACAGCGTACACAGACACACACTCACACGCACTCACACAGCGTACACACAGACGCACTCACACTCACACACGCACTCGCATAGTGTGCACACGTGTGTGCATTCACACCCACATGCACTCACGTCATGTGCACACTCACGCACACACAGTACACACACACGCATTCACACTCACACATGCACACTCACGTCGTGTGTACACTCGCACACACATTCACACGGTGTACACACACATTCACACACATGCACTCACATAGTGTGCACACGTGTGTGCATTCACACCCACACATGCACACTCATGTCATGTGTACGCTCTCTCACACACTCACACGGTGTACACACACATGCATGCACTCACACACGTACACATGTGCACACTCAGAGTGAGTACACACTCACACAATGCGCACACACAAATTCACGCATGCACACTCAGACTTGGTGTGCACACTCTAACATGCTCATACTCTGTACACACACATTCACACACGCACTCACACATGCACACTGTGCACACATTCACACATGCATTTCACACATATGCACACATAGTATGCACGCACATGGACATAAACTCACACGTATATGCACTCACATTCACACACATTCACACGCACATGCACTCACACTCACACCTGCTCAGGGTAACACATACACAGAAAAACCCACAGAAAAAGTGTGTCTTGTGCAGATGGAAGGACCCAGTAGGTGACGGTCACTAGTCCTGGGTCCCCTGGGCTGTGTCAGTGTCAGGCTGAGGCTCCTATTACCCCAGGGTGGCCGGGAGGAGGGTGGGGTCCCAGGAAGGGGTGTGACTGCCTGGCCATGTCCCGGGTATGACCTGCCGTCACCCGCAGCCCAGCGCGTAACCTTCATCCCACCCGTCGCCACCTACTCCACCATGAGCAGTAAGTGGACAGAGCCCACTGCCGATGGCACTGGGTGTTTGCCAGCCCTGGGGGGTGGGTAAACCTGGGACAGTGAGGGGCACAGCTGGGAGCCTTCCTTGTAGACGGTCCTCCTGGGCTGCCCCGGGCTGCTGGCAGGTCGTCGGGCCCGCGGAGTATCAGTGCTGAGGGGAGTGAGGCCGGCGAAGTGGCTAGAGTGTCGCCCCCCTGGTGGCCCCTCCTCCTGGGAAGGCTGCCGGGGCTGGATGCGGGGGCTACCACGCTCTCCCCGCAGACCCGAACGCGGCGCACAGCGGGCGCGTGTGCAGCACCTGGGGCGACGCCCACTACAAGACCTTCGACGGCGACATCTTCCGCTTCCCTGGCCGCTGCAACTACGTCTTCTCTGCGCACTGCGGCGCCGCCTACGAGGACTTCAACATCCAGCTGCGCCGCGGCCTGGCCGGCTCCAGGCCCACCATCACCCACATCGTCCTCAAGACCCAGGGGCTGGTCCTGGAGGTCTCCAACGGCTCCGTCCTTATCAACGGGCAGCGGTGAGCCCGGCCTGGCGGAGAAGGGCAGGGGCTCGGGTGGGTCGGGGGTCAGAGCTGCGGGGAGGGCGCTGGACGCTGCCTGAGCCAAGGCCGCGGAGGACCAGGACTCTCGCCCCAGGGAGGAGCTGCCCTACAGCCGGGCCGGCTTCCTGGTGGAGCGGGGCAGTGACTACACCAAGGTCAACGTCCGGCTGATGCTGACCTTCATGTGGAACGGGGAGGACAGCGCCCTGGTGAGATGCCCACCCACGCCTCAGCTGGGGGAACCCCTGCAGATGGGCTGGAGGCTTGCAGGGGGGCCTGCCAGTCCAGCAGAGGCCACAGCTGTCCCTTTCCCACCCCCAGCTGGAGCTGGACCCCAAGTACGCCAACCAGACGTGTGGTCTCTGCGGAGACTTCAACGGGCTCCGGGCCATCAACGAGTTCTATGCCCACAGTGAGTGCCTGGCGTCAGAGGTGGCAGGCGGCCGGCCCAGGCTGGACAATCCCAGGGAGGCTGTAGGGAGGGGCTCAGCCGGGCACTGGACAGAGAGTAGATCGGTGGGGGCCCTGGGTGGTCAGGGTGCCCTAGCAGCTTCCCCTGCACTGCCCCCAGAGCCACTCTGTGCCCGTGACATGGAGTGCCTCCTCTCCCCAGATGCCAGGCTGACCCCTTTACAGTTCGGGAACCTGCAGAAGCTGGATGGGCCCACAGAACAGTGCCAGGACCCCCTGCCTGCCCCAGCCGACAACTGCACAGATAGGGTGAGCGCCTCCCCAGGGGTCCGGCCTGCCTGCGGGCCCTGCGGCCCAGGCTGTGAGGACAGCAGTGGGATGTCGGGTGCCCAGGAGGGCAGCCCAGGACACGGCCTCCACTCCAGGTGCACCCTCTGCACCCACACACTCGCCCCACTGCACGTCATGTGGGCAACACACGTGTGAGCACATGTGCCTTGGGCTGTGTGTGTGCCCATCTGCACGTGCAAATGAACACGTCCCCCACAGAGCCACCAAGAGCGGGGCACCCAGGGCGGGAAGCCCCTCCGATGAGCTGGGGGAACCCTGCCTTCAGAAGTGGCCTGAAAGCTCTGGGATCCCCCCAAAACTAGCAGAAACCCCAAACCTTAAGTCAGGGTACAGGGGCGCACCCCACCCCCAGCTGGTAGTATGGCAGGGAGGACGACGTTCACCCGCGGGCCCCTCCCCTGTCTGCGCAGCTTCCAGGGGCGAGTGGGCGCCTCGCCTGGGTGCCCCACAGCGTGTCCTGCAGCCCTGGGTGAGCGGGGCGTCCAGGGTCGTGGGTCACTCCCAGTGCCTGGGTGCCCACAGCGTGTCCTGCAGTCCTGGGTGGGCGGGGCGTCCAGGGTCGTGGGTCACTCCCAGAGCCAAGCGCCGTTCTGCCCGCAGCAGTGGCAGGTTCCAGAGGGGAGAAGAAAGGCGGGGGGATGGGGGGAG